GTCAGAAAGTTATAGATCCATGGGAAAATCTCAGGTAGTCAGCTAAACTGGCAACTAGCACAAGGTATCCATGATAATTGAGGGGGAACCAGGATTTAGCTCATAGCAGATAAATCTACAAAGATTTCTAGTTTAAGCCATCTTTCATTCTGCCTTGTCACCATTACTCTATGTCTTTGGTGCTCAACCTGTCCAGCCATGTGGGCCACATGAGTGGCACAGAACTGGTCTGTAGGCCAGATCTAGTCCAGGATTGGCAAGTGGGGTCAGTCTGTCAGTATGCTGGCATGATCTAGTGTGCAGGCCCATGGCATCTGGCTTGCAGGATTCCCCACAGGTCCAGAACTTTGGTAGCACGGGAGCAGCAATTAACGCTGCCAACACCACCCTGTCACTACATTTCTGGCTCTGTAGAAAGACCTCAGAAAACACAGAAAACCTCAGGAAAAAAAAGAAAAAACTCAGCCTTTTCAACACTACTTAACACTCCTATTATGCTAGAGGGGAGGGCTAGGATTCAGAGACCTCGACAAATTGGAGTACTGGACCAAAAGAAATCTCATGAGGTTCAATAAGGAGAAGTACATAGTCTTGCACATAGGACAAAACAATCCCATGCACCGGTTCAGGCTGGGGACCAGCTGGCTAAGCAGCAGCTCTGCAGAAAAAGATCTGGGGGTTACAGTGGACAATAAGCTGAATACGAGCTGACAGTGTGCCCTTGTTGCCAAGAAGGGTTATAGCATACTGGGCTGCATTAGCAGGAGTGATTCCAGCAGACTGAAGGAAGTGATTCTTCCCCTCTATTTGGCACTAGTGAAGCCACATCTGGAATACTGTGTCTAGTTTTGCTCCCTCCCCACAACAGAAAGGATGTGGACAAATTGGAGAGAGCCCAGCGGAGGGCAACAAAAATGGTGAGGGGGCTGGGGGACATGACTTATGAGAAACTACGGGAACTGGGTTTATTTAGTCTGGAGAAGAGAAGACTGAGAAGGGATTTAATAGCAGCCTTCAACTACCTGAAGTGGGGTTCGAAAGAGGATGAAGCTAGACTGTTCTCTGTGGTGGCAGATGACAGAACAAGGAGCAACAGTCTCAAGTTGCAGCAAGGGAAGCTTAGGGTGGATATTAGGAAGATTTTTTTCACTAGGAGGGTAGTAAAACACTGGACAGGTTATCCAGAGAGGCTATAGAATCTCTGTCCTTGGAAGTTTTGGAGGTTTTTAAGACCCATGGCTAGACAAAGCCCTGGCTGGGATGACAGTCCTACTCTGAGAAGAGGGTTGGACTAGATGACTTCCTGAGGTCCCTTTCAACACTAATTTTCTATTATTTTATTCAGGCAGCATATCCTAAAGAAACAGCATTTGTTCAAATAAAAACCAAATTCAATAAAAAACATTCATATTTCAACCCAATCTGTTTTGAGGTCCCACTTGCTTTTGCAGATTTTATCCATATATAGTCTAGAAATCTGCCTGAATAGGTTTGTATTTAATTCATGGAGCATGAGGATAGAACAGGGAAGGAAGCTGGTCTGGCTATTGAAGATACCACTGCACAGCCCACTCAGCTTTCCCATTTCTGTTCCTCTGACACCAGTGCAGTTCATTCTCTCTCATTTACAGCCTATCCTTGATTCAAGGACACACATCTTGTCCTTGATTTACACTAGGTCTTCAGGGAATCAAATATCCTATACTTTCAAATAATCCATGACCAGTGGCCTCTTGACCAACATGCACACATTTGAGATACATACTCTAAACATTTAATACAGGCTTTTACCCTGAAAGTTTTAGTCCTACTCCCTACAAGATCTTCACATAGAAAATTTTTGCCAGAGTTTAGATGTAGTTTCACTTGATCATAAGTTTATGAGTTAGAGTCTAGCTTTCATTTTTTTTCTAGGTTGTAACCCAACTGCTGTGGATGGAAGTTCCTCTGAGGTCATACTTTTCTGCCTTCCACCTATTCTCTTCTTCTGCAATCAAATGCCAGAGAGGAAAAAAGGCAAAAGTAGAAGCAAACAACATTTCTGGATTCCCCAAACTCTGAATTGGCCAAGGCCTAAACCAACCCACAAGGCAAGTTGGAGCAGCAAAGAGGCTGCTCTGACTCCCAGCAGTTGGGATAGCTGCCTTGGCATCAAACCACCAGCCCAGATTTGGTCAGTGCCAAGCACTCCAGCTTTGCCTCAGAATTGCACCCCCATCCCCTCCCTCTCCCCCTGACACACACACACACACATACACGCGTGCTATGAAGAAGGAAAAGAAAGTGATCCAGATAAAGCAGTTTCACATTATTAGTCACTTCCATTACAGCAAGGGAATCCCCACCTCCCCTGTAAGGTCCCTTTGGTCCCCCAGCATTCAGGAAGTTTTTCCATATATCTTATTTTGAGACTAAAGATAAAGCCTCAGTAGTAGCCATTAGTGTTAGCAAAGAAGTCATGTCTATCACGGGGAGGAACAGAAGGGAAGACCCCAAAAGGCCAGGGGGGAGCCCCAGGGTCAGGAACCCTTGAAGGAAAATGAAAGTAAAAGAAAAGAAAATGGGAAAAATTTACCTGCAGCAGGATCCGTGGTGAAGCCAGAGCCAGAGGCAGGACCCACGCAGCTCATTAGCCGTGCCTTTATACAGTTGTGGCCGGCTGATGACATCAGCCAGAAGAGCCGACTGGCAGAAATAAAACGGGCCGCCGGCAAGGAAGAGAGCGGCAGATTGAGGCCAGCAGGAACTCCAGCAGGGGAGGTTCTCCCCGAGCTCCTACGGGGGGAAAAGGGGCTGGAAGCTGCTTCTCCCAGTGGGGGAAAATGCAGTAAAGCACGCTGCTGGCAGCAGTGAAAGGAGCCAGGAGCCAGAGACGGTTTCCCATGACCGGGAACCCAGACTAAAAGGCAGAGGAGAGCAGGAAGATCCCTACACCAGGCGCCACAGCCGAGGAGCCAGAGAGACCAGCACACAACAAGACACCAGACCAGGTGGGACCATTGAGGGCTCCAGAAGAACCAAGGAGGTGCACCAGGTGGGAGACGGGTGGCGCAAGTAGCATGAGGGGCTGCAAAACACGGGCCCCAGTGGTATAGAGCTGACCCAACCTGACGGGTGATGTAGGGACAGGCATCTGTCAAAGGACTACAGCAGGTCCAGCGAACCCAAAGGCTGGGCAACTAGGGAAAAGGAGTACGGAGTACCCCCTGGCTACTCCGACACATATCGGGCCGAATAGGGACCACTAATACCTGAGGGCGGTTATTGGTGATTAGGCCAGAGGAGCCGGGGATAAAGGGGCAGCGGGCCTCTCAAAGTGTCTCGGTGATTTTTTCTTGTTTGTATTTTATGTTTCCCACTATTGGAGGGGTTGAGGGGCAGGGCTTGTGGAGCCTGATGATTGTTTAAGCCTAAAGGTAGTTAACAGCCTCATGGAAAAATAGATGGTTGCAAGGCGCAGGTAAGATATTGTGGGTTGGGCACCTGTAGGCAGAAAGGACCTTCCCTGCGAGCGCACTTGGGAACTCAACAGTTGGGGATTTGGTCAGGAGGACATCTGTGACCCATCAAGGCAGGGTGTAAGGGCAAGGTAGAGGGGAGGTGGAGCCTTGCAGAAGACCACCAGACAGATGTCCCGTCATCAAGAGACTCCCAGTGGTCAGACCCCCCACTGAAATAAGATTCAAAGTCGTGGCAGGCGAGATTGGGGAAGACCCACTCGACGGAACATCTGGGATGGACAGGCGAACACCATGGAACATCCGGGCCAGAGTGGCATGTGACTGGATCAAAGCCAGTTCAAAGCCAGATGGGCACAAAGTCCTTAAACTAATTTAGCCAGAGGGAAAAGAAATTCCAAGAAAAAATTGGGAACTTTGAATGTGTCTGAGTGCTGTTAAGCACCCAGAGAACAGCCCAAATAATGGCTGGCAACAGCAGTCATGCTGGTGCAAGAAGAGGGAGGCTTGAGACACCAGAAGGAGGAAGAAGATAGGAAATGTGAGTAGCTTTATATTCTTCTACCAGAAGCCTCTCTAGAAATTAATTTTCCAATAGCCTCATTCTCAGACATCGGAGAATCATGAAACTCAACCACCTTCCTCCCTTTTACCACGTTACACTTTGGCAGAGAACAGCAGCTCACTTGGCAGGCCCGAGTACCAAATGTTCATTTCAGTCTTGTAACAGATGGAAGACATTACACACAGGCTTGTCTGCCCTAGGTACAATCTCTGGAAGCTGAACAACAGAAGGATGTCCAGCAAAACCCAATGACCACAGAACTGTTCCACATAGAGGGAGAAGGAAAAAAGAATCTTGAAACCAGTTACAAAGCATCTTCTTTCATATTGAGTCTCTGCATTAGAAAATAATTTATTGGAGCCTGCATTATTTTTAACATTGGTTTTTGTCTCTGCTGTCATTTAAACCTAACTAATTAAAGTTTATCTCAATCTACAGAGGTATATGTAGATATAATTCCTGTAGTAAGAATTAGTGCAAAAGCCATTTTGCCCAAGATTAAAAAAGCATGCAAAAATACTAGGCACCACAGACATTTTCAAAGTTGTAGATGGAAAAAAAAATCATTCACAGCTTAAATCAAAAGTTATTGGCAGTTATGACTTGCTGATACAAATGTAAGTAATAAGACTACTCAGAGGAGATTTCAATAAATTTGACCAGCATAATACTGCCTTATGAATATCCATGACAGGTTACTCAGTAGCTCTGAGAGACCACCTGTCAACATGTAGTAATAATTGGCATGCACATGACCACTGTCAACCAAAAAAAGATGGTGATAGAAGAGTACAACAACTACAGAAAGAAATACCAAAATAAAAGCTCTGAACAAAAAATGTTTTAGCAAGAATGCTTATAAAAAAAACACTGCTTTATTGTCTCTTAAAAATCTATATTTACTGTAGATGACATTAAACTGAGATTGACTTGCTAGTTTATTTAGTCTGAGTGAAAGTCCATGACACTTAAAAACATAAGGAATGACTGTAGTTTATTAATTAAAATTTGTTTTCTCATTAAGACAACTTATAATGTCCAGAGTTATAAACAAGGTATTTCTTGAGGAAGCAGACAATGGCCATTCTATTTTTCGGTAACATCATTACCTTAGGGGAGTTAATAACATGCTGTAATTGGACAGAAGAAAGTATAGGCACCTGTATAGGTCTTTGCTGTAGAGAGCACTATTTGGATTGTCTTCTGTGGGACAAATACTACATTTTACTTGAAGTTTATTTTATGATAAAAGCTCAGTTCAGGAATTCCTGAGATCCAATTACAGCCCAGCTTCTGACTTGTCATGTAGTCCTAGGCAAGTTACTCACTTTGTGCTTCAGTTTCTGCATCTGTAAAATGGGAATAAAGATGCTTATCACAGGGCCAGTGTAATAATGAATGTGTAAAGTGCTATACAGTTATCAGTATTAGATTGGAAATTCCCCTCAAACATTGTCTAGGTATTGTCAAACAACTTAAATCAGAAACAAAGCCATTCTTATTCTCTGCAAAGTCCATTTACACTCTTCAGAATGGCATTTGGGGAACAGATACTGATGGGTCTGGGAAGCAGAGGATTGGGAATGGAGGATTGTTTGCTGGCCATCCTCCACCCATCCACTGAACATCAAGAGCAAGAAGTGCAGCCGTGGCTAAAGGTCTCTAGCCTGCAGTGTTAGTAGCTACTGAGCCTGAGGTGTAGAAGAAAAAATGCTCAACTCTTCATAAAATTGCCCATCTGGGCTTAGAATAAAGGGGATTACCAGATATTTCAATTTACTTACCATGTGTTTACCAAAATAAATCCTTTAATTTGCATCAGAAGATATTGAGTCATTTTAAACATTATTGTTCCTTAACCGGAACTGTAAGACTCAAATTATCTGGTGGGCAACTGGATATGAAATAGGCCAAAAAGTTCAAAATAAAGCCATCAAGCAGTAAAGAATTTAATTTGATAGTTGACAATATTCATTTTAGTCTTCTTGAGGATGACAATATTATATCTACCATGAATCCTCTAAAGCTAGTCGTCTTCAAGAAATACATTTCCTGCTGCCATAGAAACAACCTTAAATGAGCCAACTGGAGATAAAAAGCAAATATTCACCCTATTGTTATAGCCTGACAAATTAGCAGATTATACAGGTGGAACATATGAGGTAGCAGATAGGAACTGTGAACTGCCATGAGAAAGAAGACATAAGTCTACAGAGATGAATGCTTCCATACTGAACCAAGACCTAACTTGTTTCGTCAGGTGCATTCAGATTTTTCTTTGTGGAAAACAAATAAATTATATATGATTTGGTGGGATACATGATATTAATCTATATCAACAGATTTACTTTCATTTATATTGTCAATTTATATAAAATGCTTGATTCAGACATGAAAACTTGAATTCACCAAGATAATTCTGTTTTTACTTGTTTTGTAGTTGCAATACAGCAATACAAATGAGAGGAAAAGCACACCAAATCAGTTGTGATCAGCACGATACTTCTACAAAAACAGAATACAAGATAATTTTGCTGTACTGTGATTAGGTTGTTCTTCTCTTCTGCCTGGAGCCCACATGCAGAGCTAGGTATTGAAAGGATTGTAGGCAAGTCATTTTGCACAGCTAACATTGTAAACTCTTCAAGGTAGGGACTGATTATTATTGTGTTTATATTGTGCCTAGGAAAATGGGGGCCCAAGACATTTGGAGCTTCTCAGTGTTTGAATATAGTAATTATTATAGTAATAATAATGGAATTATTATTTAAGGGTACAAAAGGGACTCAGATGTTTTGTGTAAGAGTCTCTCACCTGGCAAGTGGGTATGCTAGGTAAGTGGGGTAGATTGTCATCACGGGACTGTGGAGAGGTCAAAAGATGATACAAAACATGGGTGGGCAAAATATGGCCCGCGGGCCAGGTCTGGCCCACCAAGGAACTTTATCCAGCCTGTGGCATGTCCCTTGGCCCTGCCCAGCCCAGGCACAGGGGGCAGCCCAGGCCATGGTGCCACCAGTAGCAGAAGTAAATATTACTTGGAGGGGGTTAGTGAGGTGCAAAGGTGAGGCATGGCAGTAGGGCTGGAGCAGTGGCATACATGGGGTGCTGGCCTGGCTGCATGCTGAGTGGTGCCGGGCACTATGGGATGGCGGCATCCTAGTGCTGCTGCTGCTGTCACTGGCTGCATCTGGGAGTGGGACAGGTAGGTAGGGCCAGGCCTCGGGTCAAAGTCAGGGCTGGGATTACAAGGCAGTGACAGCATGCCCTAGGTTGGGCCCCAGGGCAGAGCCACTTGGGGAGTTCTGGTGACCTAACGCAGGCCAGAGGGTGTGGTGCTGACCTGGCCCACAGCAGGTTACTAAAACTACCTAAGTAGCCCTCTAGCCCAAATAATTGCCCACCTCTGATATAGAAAGACTGAAGAAGAACAGCTTGAGCCATGAGAACATCACATAGATGAAGGAGAACTTCGTAGCTAGAAGCTGTAGCTGGAATTACAAAAAGAGACTACATGAATTGGCTAAAGAAAGTGAATTTTGAGAACAACTAGTTGATCATGTTAGGTTCCTTTTAAAGAAAGACAAATAGAAATAGAAAATTTGAAAAGAATGACTCAAAAAGAAGTGATAGCTGAAGAGATCTTGCAGGATAATGCTAGCAATATCAAGAAGCAATGTTTTTCTCAAAGAAACAGTATTGCTTCAGGCAGCCATATGAAATAACCCAAACACCAAAAGGAAAGAATGAAAGCAATAAGGGCAGTATGAGATGATGATGATGATGATAAAGGTATCCTAGACATACCCACACAACTACATATAACCAACAAAATTGCTGCATGTTCCAAGGATGCCACCAGCTTTAAAAATATTAAGTTATTTGCCAGAGCAAATTTATTCCAACAAATAGATTATCTATCTAATATTGCTTTTGTTTTTTCTGGGCTATCAATAGGTTTGCTGCATATATTTTCCCAGCTTTCTTATTAACTCTTGATATGGAAGATATTAGCATGGCGAAGTAATTAGTGTGCTATTGTATACAAGTATATGTATGATCAGCATATTGATGAAAGAAATGAAAAAATAAGCATGAGAAATATATATAGTCAATTTAGGGTGATTTATGAGAGGAAAAAAAAGTGTAAGTACATTGTCAGCTGCTTTATCATCAAAATCTGCAGTAAGCACACTGAACATAATGCCTACAATCCTAGTTTACCTTGTACAAGGTAACAATGTGGGACCTTGACAGTGGGATTATTATTGCCCTCTGCCCCCAAATATGCGCTCATCCATCTCCGACATGGCACTATTAGTCATAAAGAAGAAATGGGCTGTAGGGCTGTGTGAAACAGCACCATTTTGTTTCAATTTCTGTTTTGCCATTTTGAAGGGACAGTGTTTCGTTTTGTAATTTTTTTTACTTTCAAAGCACTGTTCCATTTTGTTTCACTGAAACTATTTCACTGTTTTGCCCATAGGCTATAATGGGGAATCATGAAAATGCCTATAACTTTGACTTTTCTAGCCTGATTCAGATGCAAATTGCAGGGATGGTAGCCCCTTCAGAGAGCATGAAACCTGCCAAGTTTCAAGGAGATAGGTGTTGGGGTTTCTGGGAAACTGCACTTCAAGGTGCTGACAAGCAAAATTTGTGTCACCTGCTGGCAGCGGCAGCCTCCTGTCATCCCACGCGCAGATCTGGGAGCCTCCATCCCCAGGAGGGCTGTGGGGGTGTGCTGGACTCCTCCTGGAGGTGTGAACCCCTGGATCTACATTCGGGATGACAGGAGGCTGCCACCTGCGAGCAGCGCTGGGCACAGACATGCCAAGCACCAGAAAGACTGGTGCTGCCGCTGGCTCCAGGCAGCAGCCTCTTGTCATTCCAAATGCAGATCCAGGGGCGCACAGATCTGGGGGGACACACCCCCAGGAGTCTGGCAGTGCTGGGAAAGCAGGTTGAGCTCCGTGGGGCTGGCGGAGCCACTTGGACCGTAGCCCTGGTTCTCCCCAACTCCTGATGCCGGGCTGTGCTCTGAGCAGCTCCGCCAGGCCCACGGAGCTCAGCCTGGTGGCAGGAGGCAGAACGCAGCCCTGGCTCTCCCCTGCCTCCCGCTGCTAGGCTGAGCTCCATGGGGCTGGTGGAGTTGGTCAGAGCGCAGCCCTGGCTCTCCCCCACCCAGGAGCAGCTCTACCAGCCCCACAGAGCTGAGCCTGGTGGTGGGAGGTGGGGGAGAGCCACTGGCCAGGGCTGCACTCTGAGTGGCTCTGCCACTGGCTCTCCCTCCGCCTCCTGCTGCTGGGCTGAGTTCCATAGGGCTAGCATTGCTCCTCGGAGCGCAGCCCTGGCAAGCACAGCCCAGTGGCTGGAGGCTCTGCAGCCCCACAGAGCTGAGCCTGGCAGCCAGAGGTGGCGGGAGTCATCAGAGAGCCAGTGGCAGAGCCACTTGGAGCACAGCCCTGCCTCTGAGCACAGCCCTGGCCAGTGGCTCCCCTACCTCCAACTATCAGGCCCTGCTCTGTGAGGCTGTGGAGCCTCCACCCGCCAGGCTGTGCTCACCAGGGCTGCACTCAGAGCCAGGGCTGCGCTCCAAGGGGCTCCACCAGCCCCATGGAACTCAGCCCGGTGGCAGGAGAGCCAGTGGTGAAGCCGCTCGAAGCGCAGCCCTGGTGAGCACAGCCCAGCGGTGGGAGGCTCGACAGCCCCACAGAGCTAAGCCTGGTGGTGGGAGGAGGGGAAAAGCCACTGGCCACGGCTGCGCTCCAAGCAGCTCTGCCACTGGCTCTCCCAAAACCTCCCACCACCGGGCTCAGCTCCATGGGGCTAGCGGAGCCACTTAAAGCGAAGCCCTGGCTCTCTCCTGCCTCCTGCCACTGGGCTGCTTTGAAACTCAAAACGTTCTGAAACTTTCAAAATGTTTTGAGTGTCCTCACCTCATTTCAAAACTGTTTCAAAGCCCTTTGTTTCATTTTGGTTTCACTGTTTCAAGCTCGAAACTTGTTGAAATGAGACACTTGTCAAAATTGTATACAGCCCTAATGAGTTGTATCATTTTCAGTGCGTGTACTCCCTGCTCTATCTCAGTCTTGTTCAATACAGCTAAAGGGCTTGAGCTCCTTAAGCAATGTATAGTACAGACTGAGAGGAGGAAATGAGAGGAAACAGGCTGACGTTCAAGGCAGACAGGACTGAAGCGAGGTCTATAAATTAAGAATACAACTAGCAGTTGTAATACTCATGTGCTTGAAGTATATGCTTCATCCCTGCTTTATGACGACTTAAGAGTTTTGCTAGATTCCCAGTGGCTTTAGATGGCCATATTACATTAGTGACCAAACACCATTTTTCCATTTGTTTCTTGCCTGAAATATGAGACGTTTTCTTTGGAGTGTAGATCTCATTACTATTATCCATGCTTGAGACATCACACATTTTATAACAACAGAATAATAGGAAAATAGGGCCTCAAGAGGTCACTTAGTCCAACCTGCTGCTTAAGGAAGGATCATCCATGCCTAAAACACGCCTGAAAAGTGTTAGTCTAACCTGCTCTTAAAAACTTCTCAAAATGGAGGTCCAACAACCTCTCTAGGTAATCTGTTTCAGTGCTTAACCACCTTTACAGTGAGAAAGTCCTTCCTAATATTCAACCTAAATTCCCCTTGCTGCAATTTAAAATCCGTACTTCTTGTCCTGTCTCCTGTGGCCTCATCTTCGTGTGCCGTAGCTTCTGTGGAGAATTCTGCTTTTTTCCTGCATCACTCTCACTTGCTGGTAAATTTTACCCCATCCCCCTGGAACTGATACTCCATTACATCTAGCACCATAGTACCGTTATCTCAGTAATCTGTCTTTCTTTCCTTTCACTTATGTTGAATAATTACTTGTGGATTTTTGGAAGCTTTCCCTAAAAGAAAGGGAAGGGAAAAGAGAGAGCCCACCCAGAAAGCCACAGCCTTATCTTGTCCTTACAAGTCCCCATGTGTGTGGTTTGTAAACAAGGTCTGAATCCAAATTAAAAAAAAAAAAAGACAACAGCAAGCTTGATCAAAAGAGCTTTATATAACCTAACTGAATGTATAGGGTGCCTATACATATGCAGAGAGGCTGCTCTGACACAGTGTAATTACAATGTATCAGGGCAGACTGGATTGAGTCTGCTGGAAGGTGGTAATTACCCCACTCCAGCAGACTCCAAAGTTGAATGCGTCAGTGTCCCCGCACTGAAAAATGGCAGCTCATTCAAGCTTTAGTTAAAGTGCCCCCACCACCATTTTTCAGCATGGGGACACTGATACACATGACACTCCGGTCACTTTAATTACAGTGGCTCTGAGAGTTGCTCTAGTTAAAGCGCCCCCGCCACTCCCAGAGCACGTCTATAAACACCCTTAGTTCCCTTAATTTTCCAAACTTTTGATCCTTTCACAGCTGATTTCTGGATGAACTATAGCAAATAAATAACTTGGTTTAAAAATAATTGTATTCCTTATTACTAGAAAAATGTTTAATTCCTTTATCTATCATGTTTTCCCCCTCCTACAACTGATATATGTTAAACATTCAGTAGGAAACCTCTGCCCTCTCCACAGAAGTGAAAGTACTGCTGTCAAATAGGTGCAGTTAAAGCCTCACATTAAAGAACCACTAAAAATGGAAGTTATAGATATAGCTTTGGTCTGACTAGCTAGTACACAAGATGCACAAAGCATAGCAGATTCAGACCTTCCACTTAAGGTCCACTGTATAATTCATGACAGCCTCTCTGATATCTCATTCTACCAGGTTACTTCATAGATTATCCATTTAGGGAGAGAAACAGTGGAAAACTAGAACCTACATTCGATTGATTTTACTGACTCCTGAGTTAGACTGCACTAAAAATAGAACTATCAGAGAGGATGCTTAGTTGTTTCATACCTAATAGTTCAAGATTAAAATATTATGGTGATTGCAACGAATGGTTTGAAGTACAAAAAAGAGAGATGCTTAAAGGGACAGGGCAAGAAATACTACTTGCTATATGTACGCCAATGTATATTAAGCTTTAATTGGAAACCTCCTAATTATCTAAAAATAGACTCAACCTGCAAATTATGCACATAATTAGTCTCTGGAACACCATGCCCCTATTGCATTTACCAGCTTCCTCTCCTTGACCCCATCTTTTCCCCATGACTTGCTATACTCACAAGTTGTGTCTTTTCCTAATATAGACTCCTTGGGCAGTGAGCTGTCTCTTATTATATGATATGTATACAAAGACCCTGGGCAATAGCCCTCAATCCTAATGGGTCCTCTGGGCACTATATAACAATTCATTATGGTAGGAAGGGTACTTGAAACCTTTAAAAAAGCTATTCACGCAGTTTGCATTCTTACTACTCATGAGGAGACGGAGATTTACAAAGGCACCCAAGCAAATTAGAACAAGTCTCATTGAAAGTCATTGAAACCAATACCTTTAACTCAGTTAAGTAAGTGCTTTGAAAAAATTCCACCTGACAACAATAAGATCAGTTATGTCTCCCCATCTTGCCCTTATTGAGTGTGTTTGATTATGCATGCACTGTTCCTGGCTCTCAAAGTTTTGCCTTAAAGACACCCAAAGCCAAATCCTACAATTATTATTGATCTATAAACTTCGTGGAAGTTGCTCTATTGAAGTCAAGTGAAAAGTATTACTCACTTATGGAAATATTACTTGGAAGCATAAGGTTTTCAAGATCACACTTGCTATGTACTGTGATCCCTTTGTCTGGGTTGTCAGTGGTAGCAAGTTAATCTGGGCCTCTGGCTTCAAAACCATGAGTCTCTATTGCATTGATCCTCAATCAGTCTGGGGTACGGTGAGATCCTTTTAAGAGTGTTGCACAACGTTAGCACTGTTAGGTATACACACATAATTCACAAGGTAAACCCAGAGTTCTCACATAGGAATCCATAATGTTAAAAAAATTCTGACCTGTTGTGGTCTTAGTTCTTTGCAACAAAACAATTCCTCTATTATTTTCCACAGTCAAAAAAAAGAGTAAAAACTAAGAGCTAGCATTTTCTGAGGGGTGCCTCAAATCTAAAAGGTTAAGAACAACTGACCTATAGATTTGGGTCTGAAGGCTCTCAGGGCACCCTAGGGCTCTACTGTACCCTGTTCGACAATCACTGCTCTAGGTAGCCCATCCAGGCCCATACTCTTCAAAGGTAGTTTACAGTTACCTAATAGCATAAGACTAGGATCAGCACAAGGAACATTTGACATAGTTTGATGATGCTGCTTCTATGACTGCACTGTTTCATTTAAAAAACTCTGAAGCCACTGTGAGACAGAGACTGTTCCCTGATAGCTCTGAAATTAACTTGCTTAGAAAGAAAAGCACAGGGTGAGATGATGAGCAGGTATCAGAGGTTTCTTCAGTATTTAGTTCAGATTATTAGTATATATTAGGATGTGTGGCAATTTCCATTCTTCAAGAAAAGAGTTTAAAATCTATTAGCCTTGCCTGGTTACAAAGTACCATCAGTCTGACTAAATGCAGTACAGTCTCTAAAACAGTGGCGGGGGGCTGGGCCTGGCCCCACCCAGCAGCTGGAGCAGCGACCAGTGAGTAACGATGAGGGGCTGTCATGGCCTCTCAGAGCATGAGCCCCTTCCCAGCAGGGGCAGCTGCATTGTGCAGCGCTGCGGGGACCTTGCAGGGCTCTGGCTCGCTCGGGATTCTGGCACTGCCACATGTAGCCGGCTGCAGCTCTGCTGGCCTTGCAGCGCAGCCCCTCACTAGGAAGGGGCTCACATTCCCCTGCAGTATGACGGGGCTGCTGCCTCCAATAAGGGCCCTGCTGCCTCTCACTGCAGCAGCAGGGAGGAGGCATGGCCAGGCAGAAACAGGTTATTCCTCCTCCCTCTGGCCTCTAGCGGAGGGGACAGCCAGAGGTCTATTCTGGGCAGGAAGCAAACGGGGGAGTGCGGGCAGACCTGGCTCCAGTCCCTGCTGGTGGCACGGGGGGTGGAATTAAATATGCCCACATTGCCTCAGTGCAGAGAGCATGTTTGCTCAGTTACCAGCCAGTTCAGCCTAGGCAGGTTAAACTAACCTATGAAGGTTGAATCAGTTCAGGCTCTGGCTTTTTGAATGTCTGTCCCTAGCCCTTCAGTGTCTCATCCTCTGCTGACCAGTCATGCTGGTCTCCTGTCCACAGGAGCCAGTAGTTAGTAATCTGATACTTGCTAGCTCATGCCACCCATTAATTATCTTTTAACTCCTTTGTTAGTAAGTTCATCACCACGAGTCCACCTAATAACTTGGCCCTTATTTATACTGTGTTGCTGGACACATTTATCATCATTCTATTGATCTTCATTTATCTCCTATCAATTAACGAGTTTATTCTCATTCAATTGATCATTGTTTATATTCCATGAATTAGCACATACCATCATGTAATTAAACCTTACTTACAATCAATCAATTAACAAGTTTATCAGCATTTTATTAATCAATTCTTTTATATTTCATTAATCTACTTGTTGGTCATACCTCAATCCTTATTTATACTTCAGCAACAGGGAAGTTCATCACTTTCCCATTCCTCAATAACCCTTCTGTGGATGGGTCACTTCACTCGCTGGCTCCCCTACCAGTTACCCAATTCTATCATCCCTGTAAGCAAGCACTTTGAATTTTTTTGACTCACTGGTCCGAGAAGCTGTTTTCCTCCGTTGTGGTTCTCTGTGCCACCTCTCTTGTGGAGGGGTTTGTCGTCCCCATGTCCAGCTTGGTCTCCGGCTCCCAGCACTATCTCCATGCCTCCGCATGGTTTGCATGAGCTCGGCTCCTCTTGTGCTTCCCCTCTCCAGGGAAGTTCATTGTGCCAGTGGCCCCTTTTGGCTTCTGGCAGAACTCCTAATGGCCCACAGTAGCTGGCTCCAGGCGCATGTGGCCCCACGCAGCCTGAACAGACCAGAGAGAATGCAATTCATCCTTGCGTTACTAGCTGCACAGCTCCGGTTATTGCACTGCTGTCCCAGGGTCCAAAAGTAAGTTTCTTTGCAGGCTCCAGTCCAGCAGGACAGCTTGGACCATAATACATGCCCTGTTACAATGGAGTATTAAAAGTATCTTCTCAAAAGTTTGTATATATATAAAACATCCTATTATACTATACGTCTTCCAAATACATTTATAACCTCCAATAAAATATACTTTAAGTACTTTAAAGAAATATTTTCCTAGGTATAATATATTTTTCTATTAAGCAAATAGTTTTGTCGGGAATAAGATATAGAAAAAGGAATATTATCTGCTTTTTTTGGCTAAGACAGACATTTTGCAAGAAGTAGCTAAAATGTTAGTAGGCCTCAGTATGAGATCACTTCATGCAATGCCTTTTCAAAGACTATCTAGGGACATGCTGTGGTTTTGACAAAGTTCACATTAATGTAAGAACTGAACTAATAATCTTCTAGGTCATCTGTCTCAAAGGATTAGTAAGAATCAATAAGTAATTACCTATATGATTTAGAACCCACCTGGTACCATGCGGTGGTGACAAAAGCACAACCACAAATTGGAATATAGATGGAGATTCTGACAAATTCTGTTCATGTTGATTCACATAACCTATGGGGTTTACTGACTTATTTGAAACAGAAAAAGTAAGGAGACAAATTGTTACTTGCATATGGAGATAAAGTGATGCATTAGTGAAAGGATCTTGGCCACTCAGCCCTGCCCCCACCCCCAGGCTCACAAGTTTGTCCTGTCGGTGATTTAGCATCTCTGCGTTCAGTTTAGCACCTCAAACCTGTGTTGTTAGTAAACTACAACAAATCTAAGCGAGAAATTTGTGCTAGCATGATGTCAATTACCACGTATTTTTATGAAAGTTTATATCAGCAATAAACCTTAGCACATATATATTCATGCTGCCAAAAAGAGTGCTTTCACCAGGATAGCTTATATCATTCAAGGAACTGGTATGTGCTGCACTGTCAAGAACAAGCTGCATCTCCACTAAGATGATTTCCTGATTCAGTGACACCAGTAACATTATACTGACAGACCCTTTCTAGCATAGATTAGACCTACTTCTTTAATGTTTTATTTTTTATACATCTTTGGTAAGTTTAACCCAACTGCCTGGGTGCTTCAAAATCCTGAAAGTCTTTCCAAGATTTAACCACCATGATATAGCTATATTTTCTTTGAGCAGGATTAAAGGACACTTTGGTGAAGACTATAGCTGAGCTTCCACAATTGCTAATCCCTAGGGATCAACACTGGTGGAATTTTTTTTAATCTAGCACAGACACTGCCTACATATGACACAACTGAAAGCAGCAGACCAAAGGGTAGGAATAGGAGGGAAAAAATATCACACAATCACTGACACATGGGGAGCGATTGCAGAGATCCAAAAATAGACACAAATATCTCCCTGAAAAAACAAAACACATATGGAATTCACTGCTTTCAAATACCTCAAACCTCTGAAGCATTCATACAGCCCAGTTATAAGTATATAAATGGAAAAGTTCTATTTCTAGAGCTGTCAATGGAACACCTTTAATGATCACTAATAATTAATAGTGCTAATAATTTTATGTATGAAGTTAGGCAGAAGCAAAGACTATCATGTACCAAGAGGAAAACCTGCTTACAGTCAGATATTACAGTACAAAACCAAGGTGGCTGAATCTTGTATCATTTGATTTCTCTACTAAAATATCTGCCTGCACTGCAGTTGCTTGCTTTATTAAAACAAGCTACAAGACCAACTACCAGTAAGTATTCATCAAACTTTCTATAATCTAGACTTGGCCAAAAATGTTAATTTAAACTTTTACTAATACCTGCACAACAGAAATTTACTTTGTTAACTGTTGTCATCCTCCATCATTGTGGAAGGCCACTTTTTATCCTGACATATTCAACGCTGAACTGTCAGGAGCATGAGATGTCCAGTTTCAGACAGGTGCTGTGGACTGGCACTGCTGATCTTGATGCCAAGGCTTTCACTGTGAACATTTATTTTCTGTATCCCTGATATGTCAACTCTTCAACCTAGTTAAACCACTTCACTCAGTACAGCCTCTTTGGCTCTTATCTTCCGATATGAATTCTTTGCTAATCAACAGAAATAAGAAACAAAATAAATAAGAAAATCACAAGATATGCACAACTAATAAACAGAAGAGTATGTATTTGTTGAATAAACTATTTGAAACAAATTATTCACTCAGCTTTATTAATTAGACTAAGTTTCCATGACAACCTTCTTTATCACACACACCAGGTAGTGAGATTGTTTGGTACAATCTTATACTGTAAATTGCATATGAATTCAGAAAGTAGACGTCCCAGTAAAGGGAAAATATATTAAAAGGATCTAATGAAGTGCACAATACACACATTCGAATAACATGCTGTCTTGATAATTTTTCCTCTAAATTTCTTCCAGATTTTTAGAGGCAATGTTATCACGTCAGCTTAATCCAGTGATTCACAGCCTTTCAAGCTGGCCTTTCAAGCATGTCCACCCATGCCTACCTGGCTGGACTCATTTGAGTCCCGTTTCTTGTTTTGGGGTTTTGTTGTTCTCCCGCCCTGGCAGGGGGTCGGGCTAGAAGATCTACTAGGTCCCTTCCGACCCTAAATCTATGAAACTATGAAACTATAAGCTCAAGAGCGTGCCCTATAACTTTCCTGAATTTGTTGGTACGCCAGTTGAGAACCACTGTAAAGTCCCAGCTTACCTAGTTTACTTCCAGGCTGCCACTGCCACCAGGTGGAACTGCCCCACATGCCTCTGTTTCCAGGAGAAACACATGCGGCTGGATGGAGAAGCAGCTGCAGCAGAAGTGAGTGCCCCTGCCAACATTAGGTTACATTCCCCTCCCCATCAGCTGGCAGTTGGTAAATAGGAAATGTAGGTTTTCTAGAAGCCAAGTGGGGTTGTGCCCTACACCAAAAGAGTCACTCCGTTCGTTGCTGCCTGCATTTCCTATTTACAAGCTGCCAGCTAAACATGCAGGGGAGCAAAGCCTAACACAGGCAGGAGTAAGTACCTACCTCTAGCAGAGCCACTTCCCCATCCAGCCCTACATGTCTCTTCTGGAAACAAAGGCATGCAGGACACTTTCACCTGCCTGCACCAGCACTGGCATGGCAGCAAACTTGAAATGATCCTGTGGCACCCCATTTGAGAACTACTGGCTTAGTTCATCATTTCAAACCAGGCTGTATATTTCTAAATAATAATCACTAAACATGATCCTAATTAGTATTTGTTACAAGTAAAGCAAGTTTTAGTTGAGATTTAACTTTGACCCCATCAAGTTGACAGCACAGTGCTTCTAATGCACAGGAACCAGAAAGTACAACTGAATATCCTGTTCTTTTTTCTGAGATGAGTGAACTGAAAAGCAAACAGCAGCAATGATGAAAAGTACAGCACACCTCTTAAATCCTATTGACATAATTAGTTTAAGGTGTCATGCATAACAAAGTTTGTATTATGAGTTTATGCTGTAAACGTTTATGTTACAAAAATTGTGCGCAAAAGGATTAAAGAAAGTGATGAAGGAAGGACGGCACAAGGTATTCCAGGTGATATATGATATAATAAGTTGCACAGATGTAGTTAAATGGATTGGGCTTTTTCTAAGGAGCAATCTCTCTTATACATAGGGGTCCACCCAACTCGAGGTGAGGTCCAGCCAATTTTGCAGGCAGATCACAGGCCCCCCGCAGCCATTTTAATGGGTTTATCATGGTGGGGCCCCCACACCTCTGATTGGCCAAGGGGCCTGTGGCAGGGACACCACCAAGGACCAAAACCTACCTTTGAGCCGAGAGCAGAGAGGGACGTGGAGACCATAAGACACCGCCAAAGATCAAAGGCGCGGCAGGAGAGAGGCCGCTGCAGGAAGGCCAGCCACGCTGAGACTGGAGGGAGGAGAGCAGAAGCAGTCCAAGCATGCTGCAGGAGAGCCAACACATTTAGCCGCACCGGCATGGACACATTTTATGGCTGCGTGCCATCGCCAGTTTTCTGGCTGGCCCTCGGAGAGGGAAATAAAAACCCCACCAGCCAACATTCGGGGAGGACCAAAATTAAGTCCTCCGGAGGGCCCAGAGCAGCTGGGAATAAGTGACTGCCCCTGCAGAGATGAGTACTGGCAACCCCAAGGGGAGGGATGTCCAGCTAAAGCTGGCTTGGAGGAGCCTGGATCCTTACCTTCTACAAGATTATGGATCCCAGATACAGCTGCTATAGACTGAGACAGCAGTGAGTCTGTGAAGAGAGAAAGAAGAAAGGAGTCTGAAGCTGTAAGTAGTCATTGGAAGGAACAGCAAAGCTCCTGGGAGGAAGGAATCCCAGAGCAAATAGTAAAGAAAACAAGGCTGAACCAGGATGGTACACCATCTGAACAGGACTGTGGATAGGTAAGTGCTAAGTCCCAACCATGGCTGGTGGACTTGGTCTTAGCCTCGGTCAAGGATCAACATCTTTAGTTGGCATAAGACAGGGTATAGGGGAGACAGAGCCCCAAAATGGAGATCCAGGCAAAAGAGCTAAAAGAGAGAACCAGGAGAGGCAAGATCCAAGAACATCCTCCCACCAGTAATCAGTAACAACAAGATGTGGCAGGTGAGAATCCCTGGGGACCTCTTGAGGTACCTTACTGGAAGACAAGCTGTCGATTCGAAAGGAGACAGCTGAGTCTGAATGGCCAGAAAAGGCGAAGCGCTCAAGTGAACATCATGGGCAGTTACAAGGCCCTGGAAAGGACTATCCATCATATGGCCACACCCCTCACCACTGATTGGCTGAGAGGGGTAGGGCTGCATGACACATAGCCCTATGAGCCAATCTGTGGCAAGAGGCAGGGACAGCAGCCATCTTACCTAC